TCGAATGATGATACCTAAATGATAATAAACTGACTATGCCAGTTGTGTAGTGCTGATCAAATGGCGACGGATGGAAGACGGTGATAAGACTATAACAATTACTGATGATGATCGTCATCATTGAATGCCAAGTAGAGCTTAAGAGTTTTTCAAATCTTCAAACTCTCTCGAATATCAAGCTTAGGCCACCCTTCATAGGGAGAATAAGTGTTATTTATATTATTTTGGAAGTGATTTTTTAACAATTTGATGCAAAAAAAAATTATATATAATAGTTTTGAGAAAATAGTTACATTAGAAAGTTCACCAACAGCTTAATATTAATATTGATGGAGTTTCTTCACCACCCCAATTAACAAAGGCTATATTCAATGCAAAACTCAACACTGCGGTTCAAATTCCCTGATCTATGTTCTTTACTATTTCTTCTCCAATTCCATTAAAAAAGAGCGGATTATATTTTTTACTTAAATGTAATTTATATTTAAAGTGTTTTTTTATATATATAACAATTAAAACATTATGAGAATAAATATTTTTTATTTTTAATCTGTATAAATATTATATTATCGTAATTAAAAACCCATGTTCTTTGTGATCAGACAAATTAATATAATCCGCAAAGACAACCATTACGTTTGTCCATTTCCAATAAGCTAACTTATAATTTGAGAGAGACGTACAAAAAAATTATTAAACTAATTTTTGGCACATATGTTAATTATGTTATGGCTTTTCAATTAAATAAAACTTTATATTATTCTCTTTGTTTCTAGAAATAAATATTGATCGGTTAAAAGTTAACTCTTTTTGATCTGCATCCAAGATTTTTTTTAGTATGTTTTTTATGATTTTTAAAATAAATTTTTAAATATTAATTTTTTATTAAAAAATTTATTTTTAAAATTAATAAGAAAATGCCACAAATTAAATCTAAATGATTACCAATGATTTGATTTTGATAGTTCATTGATTTTGGAAAGGGATTAATTTGGGATAATTATCAATAATTGAAGCTACATAAACACATATAACAGAAAATAAAAAATTTAACAAATAACTAAATCAACATTGTGGAGAGAAATGCAGAAATTTTTACATAAATTATATAATATAATATAATGATTGAGGAAGCATATAAATTTAAAGAAGATTATAGTTATATTTGTCATGATCAATGATGGAGAATAAAAATCGATTTGGAGATCGTTGATCACAAACCCTCTATATTTTATAGAAAATTTGAATAAAATTATATACTAAGTATTTTTATTTCTTCTTAAATTTTTTTATGTAGATTTCAAAATGATAATTTTTCTTTTAATGAAAATAAAAATTACAAAAAAAGGGTTAAACTCCACGTGGAATGAGAATTTGCCGAAGCACCTCTCAAATGTGTTAGGAAGTGAACTAAAAAATAAACAAATAAGAGAACACCGAGGTTTAACGTGAAAAAATCTCAAAACGATAAAAAAAACAAAGATACACCACACTGAGTAATCCATCATGAAAAATAGGAGGAATTGTTCAGATCTTCATATAATTGAAATAATCAAATAAGATTGTTAGTATTTAAAGTGAGGTGGTTGTTATTGTCAAAGAAATTTTCTTAGATTATATAATTATCATGTTAGGATTTTCTGCCAT